TTAAATTATTATTTAAAAAATATGATATAAAGCTGATGTATCATTAACATAACATAAATAACTTTCTTAAAGAAATAAGTTAAAAGTACTCTTGTTAAGGAATAAAGATTTTAAAAAATCTTATCGTTGGAAAATTTTCCCACCTTGTCGGTTTGTTCACTCAAATCAAGTCTCTCAAAAAAAAAAAAAAAAACTTTATGAGATCATCTCAATCTTGTTCTCGTGCTTACCCGTGAAATGTTCTTTTTTTTTTATAATTATTATTATTATATCAACTTCATTTTTCTTAAAATAAAAATCAAAATAATTTAGTGTTGTTTTTTCATGAAAAAATAAATCTAATAAATTTAAATACAATATGATAATATAATATAAAAAATAAGGTTAATATAATTTAAAATTTTTAAAAAATCATATATAAATTTAACAAAAATAAAAAAATATTTTGTTTGATATATAAATATTATGATATAAAATTTTCATATTTTATATGTTTTAGTTATTAAAAAATTAAATACATGAGTGGTTAAATTTATAGAAAATTATAACATTTTTTGCATATTAAGTAGTACTAATTTCAATGAAAAATAATAATAAATATATAACATCGAAATTATATTATGTAAACATATATATTCCATATTCGTTAGAATGAGTCCCTTCATAAAATTTGAAATTTAATATAAATAAATTATCTGAAAAAATAAATTTATTACAAATAATTTATTAAAATATATTACAAAATGCTTGGTCAATCCTCGATTCAAATTTAAGAAAATTAATTTTTTATTTAATATCATCATATGTTTCCTTGAAATTCATTCTTTGAAAATTTTAATCTATATTTTTATATTCTATATTGACATGTATAAAAAAAATGTAAGAGGTTTTGTGAGTAAAATAATTTCTTATTTTAATTATACATATTTTCATTCACTAGTAATTATTTACCATATTTCATTTTTATGAATTTTATGACTTCAATTTTATTTGTTTAATTTATTTTTATTTATTCTTTATGAATTTAATTAAGTTTCATACTAAAATTTTTTAATTTTTTTTATATTTTAATAGAGTTAATAAAAATATATTAACCTTAAAATTTTATTTAAAAATTTATTTAATTATAATTTTAAAAATTCCTAAAACCCGATGAATTTTATAAAATTCTCATCACTTTGATGAATTTTAGTTTGTTTTCTATAAAAAAAAAAAAAAGTTGAACTACTTTTAATAAAATTAGTATTCATTCACTTGGATAAACCAAGTAGAACCCTTTGAAAGATGTCACTCATAAGAAATGGTGCATAAATTCTTTATTTTTATCGAATTTTTTTTACCTACACCAACAAAAGTAGACAAAAAAATTTTCCATGAAAAGTGATAAATTAAATCCCATTGGGCTTCATTGCAACTTTCCATGCAAATAAAATTCAAATGCAAAAGTTAAAATTAAATGTTAAATAAATATCTAACCCATAATAGACTTGGATAGCTGTCAAGATTTGAATCCTTTTAAATTCTTTTTAATTTATAATAGTATAAATATCATTCTTTTTTAAAACACTTTAGTTTTTTAGCTTTTTATATTTTCCATGTTCATGTCATTCTCTTTTTAAAACGCTTTAGATTTTTACCTTTTTTATATTTTATGTTGATTTTATGATTTTCTTTCAACATTTTTATGTTTCATGAGAAGATATTAACTTCTTGTTAATCTAATACTTATCATTTTCTCATACTTTTTAGTATTTGATGTTATTCGAAATTGATTTTTTTGTGTGCATATTTGAAATAATCACTAAAATTAAAATTTCCATATTTTATCAAATAAATTTATGCAAAAATATAATTTTTTGAGTTTTTTCTTGATGAATTTAAATGCGAAACCACAATTTCTCCCAGAAAAGATTCGGGTTTTCTGCCTCCGTTTCTACGCAAATTTCAACCCCTGTCAAGCACAATTACTTCTCTACCAATAGGACTTGACCCATCGGTTAATATAATTCTGTCGTTGAAAGTAACTTTTATGGTAAAAATTACTTTTGATTTAATTTTAATGTTAAATAACCAAAAAAATGATATTTCAATTTAAAAACTTAGTTTTATAACTCAAATCAAAAAGGTTTTTAAGATAAAAATTATTACATTATATTTTATTTTAATATTTTATTATTATATATATTTTAATATTTTAATTACTTGCAATACTATTTTTACAATAATATTAAACACTTAAAATTACTAATCATATTTTTTTACCAATTTTTTGAAAAATACTTTTTTTCAATCTAATATTTTTTTCAACGACAATCACACTCAACCAACCCTTAATGCAATTCTATACGTACAAAATAGAAAGGGTAAGAGGGTCAAACGAAAGATGAAGTGGGACCAGATGTAAAATCTACAAGTCAATGCAAAAAAATGAATCTCCGACAACCATGTGACGGATGCTGGAATGTCGGCGACGTGTCGCTTTTCTATTGGTTGTAAAAAATTTTTCTTTTGAACGAAATTTCAAGTCCTCCTTCAAAAGTCAAACAGCCAAACCTGTAGGCGCACGCGGCTTCACCGTTTCGAGTTTTGGGCCTTCGGCCGAGGTTGATTCATTTGATCAAAAATGTAAAAAAAGATTAATATAAATAATTACAAAATTTTAATAAAATATTAAAATCATAATCCTAAATTCTAAACTTAAATTTAAGATCTCAAGGTTTTAAGATTTTTTATTTAAGATTTTTTAATTACATGTCCAAATGTGCTTTCTTTTAGTCTTTTGCAAGATATGCTTCTTTCGATTTGTTACTTTCAAACTTTGTTGTTATATAACAAACATTATAAATTAAAGGAAAGAAACTCTATTCTATAATTTTTTCTTGGCCTATTTTTTTATACAAGGAAAATCATAATTTGAGGGTAGAAAAAGAGATTACTGATGTTAAATTTTAAATTCATATTTATTGAATATCATTTTTTAAAAAATAATTATATTGATCAACTAAATTAAATCTTAATTTATTTGCAAAGCATGTTTCATTAATCCTAAATTATCTTAATGAAAATTTTGAGAAAATTAATTTGGAAGAACAATAATGTTCGAAATTCAAGTATCTTGATTATACGTACAAATTCTTGCCTTGTTAATTATATAAAACGAAGCAGTATAATGGGCATATAGTTTTACTTTATATTATAACAAAAATGATTAAATTAGTTTAATATTATAGTATATAACAAAAGTGAATTGATGCACTCCACTTACTATAGATAGGGATTGAAGCTAAATCATGTGAGATCGATCGAGTTTCAGGGTGGGGGGGGGGGATTGGACCTTTTTTCATGTGCATATGTATGAATAATTAAAATAACATGGAATATTGGGATCATAAAAAAACTGCATTGGATTAAGTTTATTTTTCTAATCTCTTAATATTCTAGCTAGTTTGTCTTACATTCTATCCATTTCTATATGATTCGTTGTAAAAAGTGCAATGTATCAACTTATTTTTAGCCCTAATATAATGAATTGTGATATATATATATATATATAATTTTATGCTCTATCCACACATAGATTACAAAGTATAAAAATATATAAAAAATATAAAACTAAATTAATTTTAAATTGATAAAAATTGATCATTTCTCATAATATACGCATAGAGATCCAAGGACAATTCACTTTGATCATAACCCTTTAGCTTTCCCATACGTGCAGATGCATGCATTTGTTGAGTTTACATGCAGATAGAGTAATGATAGTTAATCAATTAAGTAGTTATTCTACAAATCCAAGTACATTTTATTTTGAATATGACATTTAACACAAATGATTCACACACCTCTCTCAATAGGTACATTTTTGCAAAGTTAGAGTCTGTAGTTCAATTCTTAAAGTGTAAGTTTTTCTTCCATAATTTTCTTTAAACTTTGGTTCTACTTTTAAAAAAAAAGTACATAATAATTTATATAACGAATAAAGAAACAATTCGAGATTATCACAAGTTTCCCACTTTTAATAATAATAATAATAATAATAATAATAATATATTATTATTATTATTATTATTATTATTATATTATATTTTTATATTAATCGTTTTCATAGAATTAAGGGAATTTAATTTTGAGAAAGTAATTAACTCCTTGTTCGTCCAATTATTCAAAGATGGACGTTTCTCTTTAATGAACAGCAAAATCATTGGTGGTTGAAATTAAATGAATTGAATTCGTAAATCTAGGCGATATATTTCAGAGTTTAAAAAGGGTCCTTGTTTTTCAACTAATAAAAGAAAATTGCTAATAATAATAATAATAATCTACAATCTGAGTTGAACTCGTTTAGTTAAGCTGGTTGAGGACCTTGGACGAAGGCCCTGAGCCCACAGTATCCATTTTCACCATAACGGCCCATACCTATATTTGACGCCAGTTTAATCTTCTAAGTTCCAACATTTTTCTTCCATCCCATTTCCTTTCTTCTTCTTTCTCCCCTTACAAATACCCAATAAAAAATTTTTTAAGTTAATTGTTACCCATCACATGATTTCAGATTCTTCTTACTCTTTCCTTCCAAAATCCTTGGAAATCATTTTTTCTTATATTAGAACTTGGGAGGTTCAGTTTTTTATTATATCGGAGATTGAGGGAATTCAAACTCCCAACTTTTTAACGAAAACATACATCAATTGTAGAATCAAACGCTCGAATTAAAAAATATTAGAAGTTAAAAATATTAAATCTAGATCATAACTCAGCCATATATAATTTAGCTATAAAATATTAACTACCAGTATTAAATCTCAGCAAGTAAAATCTGACTAATGTTTATTTAGGCTTTTACCTCTCTTATTTTGGTTTCTGTCTTGGTTTAGTCCTTATTCCTTTATTTTGTTTTTTGGGTCCTTAGATGGTACATCCAAGTTACCAACAGATTTCCCCGTTTGTTAATGATTATGAACTTTCTTTATTCAATGCCAAAAAAACAAGAAAAAGATGAGCAGATTTAGGTTGAGATGAAAAGCCAAAATATCCATTGAATGAAATGTCAAAAATACACATATCCTGCGAGACTCTAACCGGGTAAGAGCCCATGAGGTATGTAGGGTACCAACTGACCAGTAAGGCAAAGCTTTAAGCGAAGAAGCTTTCCTCCTATACAAAAGTCGTTCCCATCTCACATGGCTACCAATTTTCAAAAGCAGAACCACTTTCATGACAAGAGCCGGCTGGCCGGGCTGGCAGGCAGGCAGGCAAAGGTAGAGAGAGAGAGAGAGAGAGAAGACAAAACAAGAGCTAATTACAGTGAAGCTTACAACCCTTTTATATATATATATATATATATATATATATATTTCTCTCGAGGACGAATCAGAAGGAATAATATATAAATAAAGAAGAAACATATATAAATCCAAAGTACACACGTAGATCCTATTAGACAAAGCATTGTGACACACAGCAATGAGATTATGCACCTCCAGAGCCACAATTCAGAGAATTGGATTTCTATGCACTTTCTGCAGGAATTTGACCCACATTACCAAAACTTTTGGCAAACTTAGGCCTCCACTGGGTCCTCCCTCTCACAATCTCAGCCCCATCCTCGAGTCGGAGCAAGTGCTGGCACTCGATTGCACCAAAATTTGCTAAGTTTTCCACATCAGAGTCGGAGACAGCAGTCAGTGACTGCAGCACGCTGTCTCTCCCACACTCCCTCCTATACTCCAGTGTCATGGCAGAAAGCTCATTAGTCTCCAAGATTGGCAATGGAGCACTCTGCAACCAGTATTACCTTCCGGTTAAAGTGAATGTAACTTCCAAACATATAAATGTGTTGATTGGTGAAAAATATAAAGAAAAAGTACATCCTATGTCAGATTCAAAGCATTGTGTTCTTAAATTGCAGTTTCATATTAGCCTCCATAACTCAAATTTGGTGGCTTATTGGTTCCAAGAAAACTTCTATCCAAATTGGGTCGGTAATTAGTACCAGATAACCAAAGAAGTTGGCACACAGTTCATTTTCATCAATAACTGCAACCTAAAATCACTTCTCAGGAATGCTATAGTAAATAAATTTTTTTTTTTGAGCAGGAAAATTATGTGATCTGAAAATGGTCACCACTGATTTCTATGCTTTCCTGAATAAACCAAAAGCCAAGATAAATAGCTAATTCCTGTCAGGTTCTCAGCATCTCAGGTACGATTTAAGGTATATGAAATTAAATGGTTAGGATTTTGGTTCAGTTGTTATAATCAGAGAAGAAGAAGTAAGGAGGCACGTTCAATGTTACTGGATTGAGTATACCTCAAGGATCCAGCCAATGTACTTCACATTATTTACATGCTGGTTGACATCCAAGTCACTCCATTTAGGCTGCAATTAGAAATAAACTTTAAATAACAATGCAACAAATAAATAGAAAGACAATTATTAGTGCCCACTGCCATTAACATGCTGAAGAAGAGAGATGGGGGAAGCTGGGACTTACAGTTAAACCTTTACATACATATTCTGCCATGCTGTCATCAAGTTTCACAAGTTTCCGGCTATCCTCAGCCACAGCAGGATCAGAATTCATAAAATAAGGTTCTATTTCTCCTCGGACCTGTTCTGGAATTTTAGATAACCTTCTAGTCAGTTTATTCATCATCACCCACACACTGCAGATCACCAAAACCAAAATCAAAACAGAGGGAATATAGATTAGTTGCTCCTGAAACACCTTTTAATAATGCACCAGGACAGAGAGAGTAAAAAAGCCACTCGGTGTGGCCTGGGAAACCAAACTATCATTTCAAGTATCTACTGAAAACATATTAAATGCTTACAAAACAAATTTGGAAATATTTTAGAGTTCAATAGTTTCTGACTTTGGCTATTCCCAGTTTTTTTTTTTTTTTGTTCTTGTGAGAAGAACAAGATCATGACACAAAAACATCAGATTACATCATGAAAAATTTGAATGATTGTGATCCTTTCATACTGGTGTCAGAAAATCATCTCATCATTTGTTTAAAGATAAGAGCAAAACCAGCCATAAGCACATGAAGCAACTTCATAAACACTGCCCTACCTTGAAGCTCTTGTTAAAATTTCGCCAGTTTTACTATTACTGACAAGCCAATCCCTTCGCATGCCATTCTTCCCTGATGCACTGACCCAAGTGTCTACTTGAACAACATCACCCCTGCAAGACAGACATAAGTCCAATGTTCATTATTATAAAATTTCATAATACTCCAAATACATCCAGAACTACTAATTTTTGTGTATGGCTTGCTAACAAAGAACTATTTAGCCCCACTTCTTCCCGTTTTCTTTCTTTCTTTCTTTTCTTTTTTAACAAGCCCAATGCTTGCAAATCTTATAAAACATGTGATGCACAATATTGTAATGGCTTCCAAAACCTTCACTCCTATAAGGCTAGTAGGCATCTTCCAAAAATAGCAATTCAAGCTAATGCAATATATCTACATACACTTGCCTATATCCTGTTTCTGTATCCTCCAAGCAAAAATATATTGCTAGTAGGCATCCACCGAAAATAGGGATTCAAGCTTACAAAACATATCTACATAAACTAGCCTATATCCTGTTTCTGTATCCTCCAAGCAAAAATATATTCATATATATTGGTGGAATTCAAGAGTTAAACTAGTTAGTAGCAGAACACATGCCTGATGCCTCAATGACATCACATTGTGTCCTGTATCAACATAGCATCACACACATATAACTACAACCATATGGGTAGAGCAAACCACGAATTGTTGTTATAAGAGCAAACCAGGAGCAAGAGAGTATGTCTTACCAAGTAGGATAGCGATCAACCACAACTTGCATCCGTGTGACCACCCATATTAGGTTCTTCTTGCACATCTCAGGGGTGGCACCAAAACCATCTCCAAGCAGTCCGGCGCTTCTACAATGATTAATTGCTGTTTCCTGCAAAAATATATATATTAATTAAAAATCAAGCTTATGCAATATATCTACATAAAAACCAGCAAATATAAATTTTAGTTCCTAATGTTAGCTGTTCAAACATTCTAGCCAAATAACTATAACTGTACCTGTAAATGATTCATTAGTGTCTCTATGGATGCTGTACGATCAGCACCTATCTCATATGACCTAATTGAGAAGTTCTGTCGGAAAACAAGACCATCCTGAACAATCCTCCCTATGCCAAATGGATCAATGAGCATGTCAGGTCGCCTCGGCTTCCAATCAAGCATCATCCACTGCTTCTCAGCAGCCAAGAAAATGGTCGTGATAGCAGCAAGAAGCATGCTCCAATCAGGTAACTGGTTAATAAACGTCCTGGGAGGAGGGGAACTCACACCATCATCGTTCTTGAAACCTTCCACTGGAGTCGTCACAACCGTGGTACCATTTATTTTAGGAGGGGCTTGAGCATTTGCCTTGACTTGCAAACTTCCAGTAGAAGCAGATGTTTTCCGCTTGATACCTCCAAGGTTAGTAGATCTACTTCCAAGCTTCTTGTTTTTCAAGTCAGAGGAGTCCGGAGAAGAAGTAACTGGAAAAAATGCAGATGTAGCAGCAGTGGCAACCATGATTCTATAAATTAAAAAGAAGTTCTATTATCCGCTGAAATTCCCTCTTTTGCAAATAGCAAGCTTTTTAAAAAAGCAGCTGGTGCATGCTCCAACTGTATCACATATATTAAAGAATCAGAACATTTCCAAAAGACGCATTAACAAATTCAGATAACCACAAAATCCTCAAATTTTGGCTACAAATGAAGGTTACATATTCAATATTTTAAAAGTAGGTTCCACCCCCCAGCCCAACCCCCCAGCCAACCAAAAAAAAAAGGAAATTCTGAAATGGCAAATAATTTCTTTCTATTAATTTTAACATTTCAGCGTCCTAATTAATTTTCTCCATAATCTAACCAAAGAACAGAAAAATATTTAAAAAAAAAAATCAAAAGTTCTTCATTTCTAAAACTCCAGTTACAAAAGGAGAAAAAAAGCTTTACCAGATGCTCAAAGCCAACTGTTATGTTGTAAAAAAATTACTGTACTTTAACAGAGCGTGTCATCGTAAATATGCCACAAAAAATATGAATCAGCGACCAAGAAAATATGTTGCAAAACGGAGGCGGAATCGCTAAAAACAAAAACACAAAAGCAGATCTAAGCTGTAAAAACTTTAAACAACAAAAAGGAAAAAAAAAATGACAGAGAAAATGGAAACAATTCATTAACACGTATCAGCTTTCCTATCCGTTGCAATACAGAACGAAACATTCTCCAAACAATCTTTTCTGTTTCTCCAAAAGAAATTTACAATCAATACCGAAGAACACAGAAATGACGACGAGAAAATAAACAATCGAAAAAAAAGAACAATTCGAGCTGCATTTGGTTGCTGAGAAAATGAGAGAAAATATTAGATCTCCTATGGCCGCCACCATTACTCAAAAACCTTTTAAGAAAACAACACAACATAAAACAAAGCTATATCCCAAACTTTTCCTTTCCTTTCTCGGCAACGAAAGAGAAGCAACATCTCAACCAGAAAACGCAGATCAAACGAAACTGAAAAAATAAAAATAAAAACAACTAAACTTCCACGTTCGTACCTCAACCAAAAAAAAAAAATCAATGAGGGGAAATTTTCTCGAGAAAAATGCAAAGAGGAGAAACTATTGCATTATTTAGGATCTGCAAACCTTATCGGTACTTCTAGGCTTCTAGGGCTTGCGATCTAGCAATTTTTTTCGTTCCTCCCTTCTTCGCTGTCCTTTCGTTTTTTTCCTTCAGGCTTTTTGAAGAGTTTTATATTTTTTGAAATTTCGTTCCGAGTTTCTAAAAACAAAAAAAATAAATAAAAGGAAAAAAAAAAAAAAAAAGGGATTTAGTTTGCTTTCTTTTTTTAAGTTTATAGAGAGAATGGACTGAGGGCCAACGGCTCCGTGTGTGTTAGGGACATTGGTGTCCAACGACTCCTTTTTATAGCGCATACCTATCCCTCCCCTCTCACGCTTTTTTTTCAAGTTTCCCATTTTATAAACCATGTTTTCTCTTGTTTACTCTGTTGCCCTACCCTTAATTTGTGTTTGTTTCAATTATTAAATTTATCGCTGACAAATTTTGTTGGAAGATTGAAAGTTGAAAAAATTAGGTTAAAAAAAGTTTGTTTAAAAGTAGAGTGAAAATATAGTTTAAATTTTTAAATATTTAATATTATCATGGTGAAATAGATGAAAAATGTGAAAAAATTATCTTGATAAATTACAATATTTAAAACAATATAAATAAAGTAATAAAATTATTTTACCCATAAAAAATTGCGGTTGAACTTAGCTTTTTAGTATAGATTTGTAAATTATGATTTTAAAAAAAATTGTATACTTTTTATTGTTCAATATTGATATTGAATAAAAATAACTTTTGAATGCAAAAATCATTTTCAATCTTGCAAAACTAGCTCTGCCTAATTTTGGTTTTGAGTAGGGACTTTACTTTAAGTTTTTTTTTTTTTTTTTTGTCTTTTTTGTGAAATAATTGACCTCATTTGATTTCTTTTCTTTTACAAAGTTCTGCTTTCGTTAAATTTTAACCCTTTTAGCTTTGTAAAATGGCCCCATTAGGAATTTAGGACAATCACCTTTGTTAGTGGATGGTATCTTTTTAAACAAATTAAAAATCTGAAATGGATCACCTCTTTTAACTTGAATCCAAAAAGAATAGTAATCTGAGTTATTTTTATTAATTATTCATTTTTATATTTCTTAAAAAAAAAAAAAAAAACTAGTCACTCTTATTTGAACAAAGATTAAGAAAAGTATTTAATTTTTATGCTTTTATCATTTGATTTTTAATAATTTCATAAAATTAATATTTAATAATAAATTACTAAAAACATATATGGAATAAAATAAAATTATTAAAAAATTGTAGGCATTAAAATGAAAATAAAGATAATTGGCCAAAAAATAAAATAAATAAATTCAATTGGAATTCAACTACTACATACTTTTTAAAAGAATGTTGGCTTTCAATTAATACTATTTACTATAGCATGACATAATCAATTTCTAAAATTATTTTAAACTTTGGTAAAAGGGGAAAATGTGAAAAATAAGTAGCTTAGTAGTTAATTAACCACTCCCTAGTTATATAAGATATTCAATAAAATAAAGTTTTTTTTTCTTTTTTTTTCTTTTTTGAAATAAAGTTCTCATTCTTAATTTGACAACACATATTTATTTGGCAAGGAATAATTAGGATCAAAATAAGCCTTCTTTTTCCAACTTATTATCTCCATGCCCTTTTTATTGCATCTAACCCATATGATAGGATGGCATAGCTCATCTTTTTTAATGCTATGCTATTAGTAGGATAAGGACTTTAATTAGATAACTTAGTACAATTTTGCTATGCACTAATTAGAATTTACTTCAAATGAAATGCTTATAGTTGGAATGTAATTGGTTTCTTATTGGTTAAAAAGAAAATTACGAACTTTTTTTTTTTTTTTTTGAGATTGCTGGGAATTAAATTTTGATTATTAAAATTAAAACATTAATAAACAATAAAAGTAAATTATTTATAAAAAAACTAAGCATGAAAGTTGACACAATCAATTTCTACAAATTAAAAATGTTGGATTATATATAAAATGATGAATTGAGTTTCAATTTTAAACGTTTCAAAATATTAATTAAAAGGGTTTGTTAAGTTTGCATCATATTTGCAACAAGAAAAGTAAATTATTTACTAAAAAAAAAAAAAAAAACCGAGAGGCATGGGATTTGAAGAAAAAACCAAATCCAAGAGGGAATCTAACTGATTTTTTTTTTTAGTCACAAGAAAACAAAGAACAATTAAAAAGTATATATAACGCTAGGTTACGAGATTCAAATGCTTCACAAATTTTGGAGGAAATATGTAGCGATAACAAAAAAAATTAGATGTCACTTCAATTAACAGTATTGAAGCTTATTTTATAAATAATCTATCTATGTGCCACCCCTTTTATATATAAATATACAATATGTAATATAAAAACTTAGGAAAACAGTCACTCTTGAAAGTTTTCATTTTTGATTAGATAATTTAAATGCGTGATTGATAAATTATAAAAAAAATATTTTCATTTTCATTTATAATGATTTAATGTTTTCAATGTGTATAATAATTTATTTTAAAAATCACTTAAATGAAAATTTTCAATAAAAAAAATTGAAAATCTTAAGTAGGTAAAGGTTACTTATGGAATTCAATCAGTCTATTTTTTAGCTATTTATTTAATTGTATTATCTATTATCCATATATCATTTCATTTTTAACTATGTATTTTTTATTTTTAGATTTTATTAAAGTATCCAAAAAAATCTACTCAATATTTAATTTTTAACAAATTATTAACTAATTTCTACAACAACAATTCAATATTTATTTTTTTCAAAATAAAAATTCAATATTTAGTTTTCAATATTAAAAAATTTAATTTGTCATATAAAAAAATCGAAAAAAATATGATGAACTACCCAATAATAATTTTTTTTGAGAATTGAAATTGTTAGGGGTATTTTTGGTTTTTAAATATATAATTATTTTTATCATAAAAAAATATTTATAATTTGATCAAAATTATTTTAATGACATGGTTCAAGTTGATGTGATAAATCGAATCGACGTGATAAATCGATTTGAGCACACATCACCGATGATAACCTGACAAGTCATTAATTCTTCATCAACAAACACTTCGTCCCTCCCTCTAGATAAAGGAAGCCAATTTTTTCCTCTTTTAACTTTTGCATCTCTATTTCTGAATTCTTTATTTTTTTATTTACTTTACCGATTTAAATATCAGAGCACAAGCATAAAAAATAACTTCAATTTTTGCTTTCAATCGATTTCGTACCTGTGATATCAAAATTTTACCTTTCAATCCGAACTTAGCACCAATAGAAATCTATATATAATTCAATGATAATAACTTGTACTAAGCTCTAGGAAGGTAATACAAAGCATAGAAGTTTTAGGCGATGGGTTCAAGGATAAAGTTCAAGGAAGCTAAAGCAAAATATAACTTGTGAACATAATTTCTTTTCATGTTGGAGGAGAAATAAATTAAAATTAAACAATGCTTTTTTTACCCTTACTTAAAATGAAACTTCACCCAAACTATTTTGAAGTTAGGTATGCAAATCTATGGTGCAAATCAATAATCAAGTTGGGTTTTTCTTTCGCTGATTGTTTTGTTATAAATTGCAGTGATATAGCTTTCACATGTTAAATTTGACTACAAATTTGGAAAAGTTGTTCAACCACATGAACAGAAGAAAAGATTTACAACACGTCAAATCCTTTGGCAAGGTTTTGACCTGTCCTGTGGCTTTTATTGGAGTCAATTCTTATGTCTGTGGTCTTCAAATCTTTACTTCAAGCCCTCCCTAATCCCTCCTACCTTTCACCCTTGATGATTTAAAGAAATTGGCTTAATCTATTGGAGCAGTACAAATAGCACAATGAAATATATTTTGAATGTTTTTGAAGTCTTGAAAGTTTGGAAGTTGTAACCCAATTCTTAAATCAACAATATTTCTCTTATATTTATAGCTTAGTTGCTAACAATAAAATAAAAATTTTTAATTCAAATTGAAAAGGTTAAACCTAAAAATGAGTGGCATAATCAATAATTTTTTTTCGTGAATATATTTATCATATGTTATTTAAATTTTGATATTGCGATCTGTGAGCATTTGACTCAATTAATATCAATATCAACCAATTTTGTATGTGGATATTTACCTGAATCATATTTACGTAAAAATTTTATTAATTTGTTTGAAATTATAACGAAAAATTGAAGCTTTTGGTAGGCAAAAAGTAAATCAAATTTTAGTAACATGGCCTAACGAATAAATTAGCCACAAAGTTTTTCAAAAACTAAAAGCAATTAAGAACTACCATTAGTCAATTAAATATCGAAAGAGACTGAAAGTTTTTAATTAAAAGAACCAGAAAAAAGAAGACAAATAAAATATTTTTATTTACTTAAACAACCAGTTATCGAAAAGAAACTTATCATCATTTTGAATATAATATGATGATAAATATAAAATATTATAAAAATATAAAAAATATATTTTACAATTTTAATAAATAAAAATATATTTTATATTTAATATGTGACATAAATTATATATATTTAAATAAAATAAATAAATATAAATTCACAAATTATTATAACAAATTCGAATGACAGGCGGATAAATTAATATTTTTGTCGGGTTTGGTGTTTGAGGCAGCTGGCATGTGTTTTTTTTGTTAGTGGGAGGAAGCTTTTAGTTAAGGTTATCTTAAAATCTGGAGGCTTCTAATTGCGCTGTCACATGTTTTACCACGTGATGGCAGCCTCGTTATTATTAGAGTTCAGGAAGGACAGAATCGGAGGTAAGAAACATTTGTGGTTAGAGCCGTTAACGAGGCTTTGAATGCATTACGAAACTGGGGA